TTTTTTATTAGAAAGCTGACGTTTCCCGTGTGGTCCCATTTCAATTTAGACCAGTTCTGATAATGGTATCCATGAGAATACCATATAAGTTTTAACTTTGCATTAAGTACGTGCGCGACAAATAGATGAATAACTCAATAACTCAATATCACGCCAACCGATTTCGATGATTATTATTTTTATTGTATATTAATTTGTTTTGGAATATCTTTTTTTTATTTATTTGAAATCGGTTTTTGTTAAAGCATGTCTATTTACAATGAACAGCTTGGAATCGCATAGGTAGGTATAGGTATTATTACGGATATTATTATTAAGAATACTTCACAATTTCAATTATATTTGTACGAATGAAAATACTGAAATTAGATTATTTATCTAGAGCATCATCCTAGTAAACGAAGTCACTAAACTACGCATTATTGAGGGTACCTCAAAAACTACTGGTCAAATTAAATGCTTTTTTTAAGGGATTTTATGACCTGGTAGCTAACCTTTAGGTCAAGTCTTATTTTAATTTTAATGATACGTAACTTTTTTATATGAAAATGATATTATGAAATGAAATGAAGTTGATAATTATGAAACAGCATGAAGTGAAATGAAAACGAAATGAAATGACATGAGATGAAATGATATGGGATGAAATATAATCTCAGCAAAATGGTGGTCATTTACTGAGATTTTTTCAGTGGACTTTTTGGAGGATCCCGAGAAGTTACGTCCAGCGGCTTTGTTTCATTTTCCCACATTTGTGCACTTTTACAGATATTAAACAGTTAATAAACCACCGTTATTACACATTTAAACCTGAAGAAACAGTAAATAGACAAAATAAAACAAATCACACAACTTCACTCTTCGCGTTCCCGCCAAAAAGTGACAAATTACCTAAATGCGAATTTTCAAAATCGGTTCACCCACAAAAAGTTCTAAGGTTAATATAAAAAAAAAAACAGTCGAATTGAGAATCTTCTCGTTTTTGAAGTCGATTAAAAATATTATCTTTCGAGAAGGTTCCGTGATTATAAATTGTTACTGGCGGAAGGCTGTCGGACCTTCGGTTCAAGCTAAGATAGGTATCAAGTTTTTCCAAGTACCTACCTATTGCATTCGAAGCAATAAATGAAAGTTCTTATACAAACTCTGCACGTTTGATTATTTGAGATGGTATTGTTTGTGGAACGAAGTTCCTTATGGGACAATGTCTACGTCCGTAACGTAAGATTTTTATTAGTAATGCACACAGTGTACGACTTAACTTTGTAATAACGTACAAAAATAAACATATTTTTTTATTAATATATATTTTTATAAATCATTGTGAATAAAATAAAGTTGATAACTTTGTAAAGTAGTTTTTTTTTATCAATAAAAAAATCATAATAAAAAATGTATATACCCGAATAATTATTTTCTTTATACCTCGAATAGAACTTAAAATTAATATTTTTATAATAAGGAACTTCGTTCCTATCCGGTGTCCCACGACACCACACATTTTTTTAAATTCTTTAAACGGGTGGACGAGCTCACAGCCCACGTGGTGTTAAGTGGTCACCGGAGCCCATAGACCGCGACAAAGTAAACGCCGCCACCCACCTCGAGACATGAGTTCTAAGGTCTTTTGTCATTCAGCCACATTCATAGTCCATTTCCAACGGTTTTTGTGCATCTCAAGACGGCTCACGTCCACGGACCGCTGCAACCGCTAAACACCGGATTGGTAATAGTAAAAAAATATTTTTACAAAAATGGTTCGTTACAAGAATAATCTATTGATATCCTGTAGTGAATGTTTGACCGGACTGGTGCTGGTGATCTCGTCGCTTCGCAGACGCCGACGGTCGGTCAGCGTCGCGATATCGATTGAGTCGCTATTGTTACACATCGCTGAGCCGGTAACCTTTTATAAGCCTCGATATTTTTCTTCTGTTTACTTTTATGTTGCCATTTTTTCCCCCTACCTAACCTCGAGGGGTTATACTAGATTCGCAGAACTAGTAGGTGAGCTTTCGGGGCTCAAGCCTGACGTTGTTGCTAACGACTACCCCCTAGCAAGAGCCATGCTTCGCAGCTACGAGAAGATTCCGCAAGAAACTCAGGGGCTGTGTCTGTGGGTTAGTTTTTAAAACGATGACCGGTGCTTGAGGTACCTAGAAGCACCGTTAGTGGATCGGGAGGATCCGATATGATTTATAGGTATCGATCGTACGACCACGGCTAATATAAATAGTACAGACTTGTTCGCTAAAAGCTAATAATAATAATGCGCTAAGATATTGGTCGTCTCTAAAGTCAGTAAATTACTGGTGGTAGGACCTCTTGTGAGTCCGCACAGGTAGGTACCACCGCCCCGGTTACTTCTGCTGTGAAGCAGTAATGCGTTTCGATTTGAAGGGCGGGGCAGCAATTGTAACTATACTGAGACCTTAGAACTTATATCTCAATTTGGGTGGTGCATTTACGTTGTAGATGTCTATGGGCTCCAGTAACGACTTAACACCAGGTGGGCTTGTCCACCCATCCAAGCCATAAAAAAAATAAGTCGGTTTACGGACGATAGTTTGACGTGATGACGTCAGCAGCACAACTATTTGAACTGCTAGCTCTGACGTCACGCGTGAAGAGAGATAAATGCGTTACAAGCCAACGCTTGGGCCGATCGTGTCGCTCAGACTCAGGCGGAACGTGACACTTTTTCGTTCACGCAGCCAATGTTCACTGATCTATAAGACGTTGTCACGTCAAACATTTAAAATTGTCTCAAACTAACCTCAATGAATGGTTTGTGTGCTGTTGATTGGAAAGACTGTGTATCTATTTTTTTTTTGGGCTTTGATTGAAATAGGAGGAAGGTAGTTTATTTATTTATTTTTTTGTTAATTTAGTGTAATCATGGTGTGATAATGATGGATTATTAACGGTTTGACGTCTGTGCCTCCACAAGTGTAGGACAATCAAACCCTCTCTAAGTGGCCTCTTTTAGGGTTCTTCTAAAAAGTCGCCTATTTTTGCTATGAAGCAGTAATGCGTTCCGGTTTGAAGGATGGGGCAGCCGTTGTAACTATACAATAGATAATTCGACCTTATCTTTGGAGAGGGGTGGTGGGCATTGCGAAGTCTAAATACGATCTCTGGTAACCACTTAATACAGAGTTGACCGCGAGTTCGTTCACCTAGTTACGCAATAAAAAATGTATTTTTTTTTTGCTTTTGCGATGCCATATGGTCCATTAGACGGTGAACGGAGACGGTCGCCCATAGACATCGGCAACCTGCTAGACACGTTTAGTTAGGAAACATAAAAAAAGAAACAAAATGCATTTTATATGTATATATTCGGATTCAATATTTCATTAGCTATTAATTAATTAATACAACTTAAAATTACGTTTTTTTNAAAAATGTATTTTTTTTTTGCTTTTGCGATGCCATATGGTCCATTAGACGGTGAACGGAGACGGTCGCCCATAGACATCGGCAACCTGCTAGACACGTTTAGTTAGGAAACATAAAAAAAGAAACAAAATGCATTTTATATGTATATATTCGGATTCAATATTTCATTAGCTATTAATTAATTAATACAACTTAAAATTACGTTTTTTTTATTCCTTCTTTAAATTTAAATAATAATATTAATAATAATACACTGACTTTTCGAAAAAAAAAAAAAAAAAACTATCTCTTCGAAACCTTACACGTAATTTAATATCTAAACTATTATTAAAATTAACTATATATAAATTACAATTTCATTACAATTCTCTTTTTAAATTACTAGGACTTATGAAAAAAAAAAAAAACTAAAACAGACAAAAACATCTTTAGAATATTTTTGAAACACATTTTTCGTGTTTACCGCGGGGCGAAAATATTAGGATTTTTTTTAAATTAAAATTACACTCCACGTAAAAAAAAAACACCCTTCCTACTCTAATAATCTTTTTATGAAACATAAAAATTATTTGAACGGCCCAAAAAAATAATAATTAGAAAGATACTTTTCGTCTCCTTACAAACTATTATTATTCACATATACAATCTGAGCGCACACATATACAAAATGAAAAGTCTTCAAATGTTCATTAATATTTATTTACAAAATACATTTAATAACGCGTTGCCTTTTTATTATTTTTCAAAATCGAAATCTTCACTAAAAATACCTTAAACATTTATACTTAACTTGATATGACTCCCAAGGTATATTACACAGGCATTCGAAAAAAAGCAAATTAAATATATATGTATTTTTATATTTTACATTTTTATCACTATATATATATAGTTATATTTAAAATATAATTATGGCAAAAAAACTCGTTCGATAAAACATTAGGCCTTGTCGATTTAAAAAAAAAAAAAACGAAATATTAAAAAAAAAAGTAAAAATGTTCGATGAAATTTCGTTATTTTGAATTTAGAACAATTCGTTACGGAGGTTTTTTCACTTCCGATTTTTTTTTTCAAAATTTTTTTTTTTAATTATCCTCCTTAATTGTTTTTCGGGCGTTGGTTTATATGACTTTTGGGTTGCGCGATCATCGCAATAACAATTGTGATTTCGTTTGGTTGTTGTTAGAAAAAGCATCGAAAACATTTTGTCGCTTATAGGGAATCTCTTTGTTTCGTAACTGATATACATACGCTTCAAGTTTTCACTGTTCTTCAAATTTAGCGTTGTGTGTGTTACGAAGGACCAAAATAAATATAATAAATAAAGTACTCGAACGCTAAATTTGAACGTACAGTGAAATCGATTTTCGTATATCGATTTTAAAAAAACGCCGCCGCGAAAATCGTGATTTTTTTTTAGCGGGAACGAAAAAAATTAACCGCTCATTTTTTTTAATTGATTTACGGCCAATGGTTACAAGACCTTATAGCCTAAATAAACCGCTCATTTTCGTTAATGTTGCAAGACCACAAACAAACAAATTCCCTGAAAACGACAAAGGCATATATTTATTTACAATAAAAGACTAGAAATCGCATTAGACCATATTTATTCCGTATTTCTCGGGCGCGAAGTAGCTGTTTCCCGTGTTGGAGAAGTTTGTTATCTGCGTTGCTTGGAGCATGCTCAGATGAGGATTCTGCTGGTTCTCCGGGGACTCGGGACCTGAAGCTAGAATGTTGTGGGACGACCAGCCGGTCGGAGGCGAGGGGTTCCCGAAGGACACTTGGTTGTACAGCTGGTTGCTATTGGTGCTTAAGTTGTGGCCGTGGTGTCCTCCGTGGGTCTGGTTCACGGACGTACCATTGAAGTATTCCATCTACGAATGAAATGACAGTTTTAGACAACAGCATGCAGCGAAGATGGAACAGTTTAGGTAAAAACGTGAGCCGGTAATGAACAGCGAATGTGTCGCGCAAGGTCGTCGACCCCACGCTTCGAGTTGCGTGCTCCATTGCGCGGTTTTGTTTGCCTTAAATACACGATGGAATCTGTATATAAAGTATTTTTCAACATCACCAAAGACAAGCAATTTCATAAATGCTTTCAGTATTGTACGCAGTCTAATAACATACTTAGCGTTTCTATAGCGAAACTGGTGGTGGGACCTTGTGAGTCCGCACGGGTAGGTACCAGCACCCCGCCTATTTCTGCCGTGAAGCAGTAATGCGTTTCGGTTTGAAGGGTGGGGCAGCTGTTGTAACTGTACTGAGACCTTAAAACTTATATCTCAAGGTGGGTGGCGCATTTACATTGTAGATGTCTATGGGCTCCAGTAACCACTTAACATCAGGTGGGCTGTGCGCTCGTCCACCCATCTAAGCAATAAAAAAAAGAAGCAGACTTGGCTTTCGATTTGAAGGGTAGGACTATACTATTGAGTCGTTAACCTCATGTCCCAAGGTCCTTTAAAAGTATGGTGACAAAAGGACAATTGGTGGTTCCTATCCCGCGTGTCTTTACAATGCGCTTCGTATATTTAGTTATTAGAACTGAATCGGTGGGGCAGTAGTTAGCAGTCCCGACCGTTGCGTTGACAGTCTTGGATTCGATTTCCACGTCGGGCAAACATTCGTGTGATTGACAAGTTTGTTTGCTCTGTCTCTATATGTATATATTTAAACGTATGTAGGTATGTCAATCTGGTACTCTTAACATAAGGAATCCCAAATTGGGATCGGATGATCGTGCGTAATTGTTCACAGTTGTTTATTTATGTTATGCTTAATATTAAAAGTCTGAATCTAGCAAGCCCAAATTCTCACCTGACTTGGATAATAAGGCGAATTGTAAGCACTCTGCCCGTATCCTTGGTGATGATGTGAAGTTGAGTAGCTCCTAATGTAGTCCGAGCTGCCGGGCCAGTGGAAGCTGTTGTAGTTATCCGGGTGGTAAACGTTCCCCGGGCCATTAATGCTCTGGGGGGTGATAGGGGGTGACGGGGTCGTCATGATCGAAGAGTTGGAGCCCAGCGGCGTCAGGTTACCGGTTAAACGGGAGCTGTATTGGTCCTTAACAAGGTTACTGCCGAAGGATTTTTCGGTGTAATCCAATTTGCTGGAGTACTCTAGCCTTTTCGGGCTACTGTACAGCTCTTGTTTGGGCGTCACTCCGTAGCCGTGGATGTCTGAGCTCTCCTTCCCGCTCACCCTCGAGTCGTAGTGAGACAACGAGGTCAAGCTGTTCTTGGTCAATGGGGAAGTCTCGTAACTAGATCCGGCCGCTTCCTTCTTACAGATCACGTTAATCGGGGGACTCACTGAAGTCGTGGGCGTTATCGGTAGATTCGGGGAGGAAGTCGTGATCGAGGAGTTTTGGCTCGTCGTCAAACTCGTGGAGGAGCTCGTCATGGTTTTGGAGGTGGTCGCTTTTGAGGCGGACGCCGAGTTTCCTTTGATGGCGTTGCTCGACGATACGCTGGTTTTCGCACTGGACGACGACTTACTCGTTATCTGAGAGTTCGTTTGCTGTTGTAACTGTTGTCTGCATTTCGCTCTCCGGTTTTTGAACCAGACCTGTTGGCAAAGATTTAATGGGGTTATTATTAATAATTAGAGCGCCTAGAACGTACAGTACCCGACAATAAATGTTGCACATCGATTCTTTGAAAGAGATAATCGGCTAGGAAGTTAATAATAGCGTTATTTTTGTCGATGTGCTTATTGCCGACGTCATGACTCTCAAAAACAACCTAAGCATCGTCGTTATGTATGTTTGTTTTCCCTACCTATGCGAGAGGCTATATGAGCGTTACCTTAGCGTGTAGGTGAGCTCACGGGGCTCAGAGGTGTTGCTAACACTGGCCCTAGCAAGAGCAGTGCTTCGGAGAATCTACCACCGAAGCGGAAACTGTCTCTATGGGTTAATTCACTCGCCGAGCCCTTCGTCGCAAGCGACGGGTTCGGCGAGGACGGTACCCGGTGCTTGTGTTACCTAAAAGCACCGTTAATAGATCGGGAGGATGCGTAATGACGTGAATGTATTATTAGTGAACATCCTGTATCCTGAACTGTTAAATAAGGGAAAATGTATTAATCTAAGTGTTTAACTTCAAATTCAATTTTATAAACATCATATTAAATTTCTATTCCAAGGTTAAATTTTGTTTTGTCATTCCTTTAAAATTGACATAACTAAAAATAAAAGAAGAAAAGGCAACAAATTACATATCAATTAACCGTCTTTAAGACGTGATCATCAAATTGAACTTGAATCATTTCCTTTTTCCTAAATATGAAATTAAAAACCTACATATTAGTACGGGCATTAATTCGAAGTAGTCCTGGTATAAGTTTAGTTAAGACACTTCAGATAGAAGTCTCAGTAGCACTGGAATAGGCAGCGCGGCGATATAAGTTAGGGCTGCCACTGAATGCATTGAACACCCTACGCCATTAGCAACGATCGATTACATTCCGCACACAAAATGATTTGTAGCAGCAGCCCTTGTTCAAATAGTGAGGCACAACAATCGTGCGTGTTTGTCGAAGAGCTTAAATTTGATTTGTAGCTCAGTAGCGGATGTTGGCTCGTAAGCTACGATATTAATTACAATCATCGACAAGATGATACACTTATCAAGCTTTTTTATTTATTAGTGGTCCTCCGGTAGTCGAAATTCGACTATAATTAATTGAAATTATAAGTTTGTACACTATCATGATTCTATTGTCAAATACTATTAATACTTCTATAATCACAGATTTCGCCAAATATTAATAAAGAAAAACAACATTTAATCTACTTATTCTGAATTTGACCACAGACTTTAAACAATGGTAGTAGGACCTCTTGTGAGTCCGCACGGGTAGGTACCACCGCCCTGCCTATTTCTACCGTGAAGCAGTAATGCGTTTCGGTTGGAAGGGCGGGGCAGCCCGTGTAGCTTTACTGAGACCTTAGAACTTAGATCTCAAGGTGGGTGGCGCATTTACGTTGTAGTTCTCTATGGGCTCCAGCAACCAATAACACCAAGTGGGCTAAGAGCTCGTCCACCCATCTAAGCAATAAAAACAAAAACTAAAGGTTTGCGGGTCAACGATCGCGAATGTCAGAAGATTGTTCCAGAATTCGTGTCTCCCGGGTCTGGTGCGCGACGCGACCCCTAACTCCGTCTATTCGTGACTCGATTTCAATGGTAATGTTCTACAATACGAAAGCTCCGCGTCGCTCGCCGTGCCCGTCGTTGTTCGCATCGGATTACCGCCCCCGACCGATCCACTACATTGTACTAATGAATTAATAACTCTTTGGCGAGTGTAACGACTCGACAGATGGCCGTGCCTAATTTGTATGGAGTCAGCGAAGGTGCGTCTGTGAATGGAGTAAGAGAGACAACAACAAAAAAAGTCCCTATGGCACGTTTTAACGGATATATAGACGGAAAGTGGGTCGACGTCAGGTCGATCGTAAAATTCATGTCAAATGCCTGTACAGCATGAGAAAGGATATAACCGACCCCACGTAATGTGGCATTTTTTTTTCATTGCTCAGATGGGTGGACAAGCTCAAAGCCCACCTGGTGTTAAATGGTTACCGGAGCTCATAGACATCTACAACGCAGATGCGCCACCCACCTTGAGATATAAGTTCTAAGGTTTCAAGTATAGTTACAACGGCTGCCCTGCCCTTCAAATCGAAACGTATTACTGCTTCACGGCAGAAATAAGTGGGTGATACCTACCCGCGGGGACTCACAAGAGGTCCTACCACCAGTATAAGAGCGAGAAGTATAAATGTAGGTCTAATTGGCCGATTGGTTGCCGTTATCAGGATCGAATAAGCAAACTAACTGTAATAGTTTCCCTAATAAATAAACTGGTATGGTATCACAGAATAGCAACACGCTTCTTCTCGTAGATAGTCGTTAGGTGATTAAGAGATTCCCTGGAGAATTCCCAGGACTATTATCGCCAATAGGGTATTATCTAAGGGCGTACTTTGAGAATGATAGAGAATAATACAGGTAACCCTCATATAACACGGCAAGATACGTTCTTACAGAGTCCTGTGTTGTGTGAAACCGCGTTATATGAGTCTAGAAGCCACTACAAAAAGGTGAATATTTTTTCTGAATGTTACATCTCAACTATACTATATATGATTTACCTATGGCTGATAAATAATAAGCAGTACAATTTCGGTAATTCCCATATATTGGGTGTTTATAGTTGTTGTGTTAGCGCGTATACAAGTGATAGTTTTATTTTTTATCCTACCTAACCTTATAGGCTATATCAGCGTCGCCTTAACTAGTAGGTGAGGTCACGGGGCTCAAACCTGAGGACGTTGCTAACACGAACCCTAGCAAGAGCCGTGCTTCGCAGAATCTACCACCGGATCGGAAACGCGACCCACTGAGAAGATCCGGCGAGAAACTCAGTGGGCTGTGTCTGAGGGAGTGATACTTAAGACGGCCAGTGTCACACTAACATTTATTTCAAATATCGTTCGCAATGAACCACTGTGTGAGTCTGCATCTCCAAGTCTTCCAAGTTTGCGTGTTATGATCGAAATTACTTAAATTTCCGAAAGACATTTTTTATATTTTTTTAGTGTGGGTAGATACCCAATGTTGCCAATGTTGTGTTAGCGCGTATGGGGACAAGTGATACTCAAGACGGCCAGTGACAAACTAACATTTATTTCAAACATAACAATAGTGCATAATCTGTGTAATCTTCTAAATAATTTGAACCGTGCTATAAGAATGTTTTTGGTTAATTTTTCTTTTCGTGTTAAAGTAGAAACGTGTTATAAAATACCGTGTTATATATAGGAAGGCTACCTGCATTGTTTGTAATAAAAATAAAGTAGAAATAATTTGCGTAATTACTGGCGGTTGGGCGGCTTGCGCCTATTTCAACCGCGATACAGTAATGCGGTTCTAAGGGTGGGGCACTCAACCTTCTATAGAACTGAGACTTAGAACTTTTTTTTATTGATTGAAGGATTACTGGTGGCCCGGAGGCCTTTCCAGTTACACCAGGGCAGGTGGGCGAGCATAGGTTCAGCCAGGAGGGGTGGGATTTGCTAGGGAGGGTGGGGTGGTAAAATCAAAGAAATCCGCTGAACATAGCTTCTTAGGATCCTCCAAAAAGTCCACAGAAAAAGTCTCAGTGAATGACCATCATTTTACTGATTTTTCATCTCATTTGATTTCATTTCACTTTAAGCCTATTATCATTTTTAAGAAAAAGAAGAATATAAATTAAAATAAGACTTGACCTAAAGGTCTTAGTTAACAGGTCATAATATCCCTTAAAAAAATATATCTTTTTTTTCTTTTTTTTTTTCTTTTTTTGACAACAATTTCCGAAAGCGGTCGCGATTCAATTAAATCGAAAAATATGGATTAACTTTGATGTGCGCTAATAAGACGCGAGATTATTTTTTTTCATCTATTGTGCCCCGCGTTGAAGATCAAAACACGCCAATTAGTAGCCGGAGGGGCGGTATCAGATAGCGGGTGCCCCGAACTCAGTTCGCCTAATGAAATTGATGTCAGCGAATTTTTTTTTTGTTTGCGCGGAATATAGCAAAGGCTTTGTGAATAAAGGATTTTTTCTGTAGATAATTTTATGCGTCATTTATTTCTCTGAGGTTGTTGTTGATTGGGTTACTAATCAAACATGACCTGCTTTGCTGGTCGATTTCTGGTTCGACTTTTATTTTATTGCCTTTTTAGGCAGACGAGCATACGGCCGACCTGATGGTGAGTGGTTACAATCGACCATGGACTTCGGCAATGCCAGGAGCAGAGCCAAGCCGCTGCCTACCGCTTAGTACTCTCACACTGTCATAGCGCTCGGGAAACACTGTGGAGGGACTTCTCACCCGCTAGCCTAATCTGAAGATTTAGTGCCAATTTCAGCAGTACAGTGCAGTGGGTGGACAATTACTCAGTATCAAAGAGGTAGTGAACGGTTTTAACAAAATATACTTTCTTATAGCAATCTTTAAAAAAAACCAACACTCAAAATAGGTAAGTGAATCGAGAAAATTATCCATTTTGTAAAACAAAGATGGCGCTCATTCGTGCGCAACTCCTAAATCGTTCGAAGTTCAAAAAATCCGGACTCGACAACGCCATTCCGCGCTAATGCTGTAACCGTGTTATTCGCAATTGAACGTTTGAACGAATTAGATCAATCATTTCACTCGGGTGTAACTCTGTTTTATCTTTGATTCGTTATGTAATTTACGCTCTTTCGAAGTTAATACTGTTGCTTTTTTATAAGAAGAAACGATTAATATGGTCTGTATGCCTTTTTAATTTCACCAGGACAGACGGGCGACTATGGGCTCAGCTTTTTTCTTACGGCCCTTCTAGGCAGACGAGCTTGATGATGAGTGGTTATCGTCGCCCATGGACTTCAGCAATGCCAGGGCTAAGCCGCTGCCTACCGCTTAATACTCTCCACAAGCCTCGTTTGAAGAAGGACATGTCATAGCGCTCGGGAAACACCGTGGAGGGGAGCTCATTCCAAAGCCGGATGGTACGTGGCAAAAAAGATCTCTGGAAACGCACTGTGGATGAACGCAGTTATTCTAGGACTACCTAGTATGGATGAACTCTACTCCGGACCTTGTTTAATAGCTGTCCGAGCGCCTCCGAAGGAGACCTATCTTAGGGCAGCTAGCTACTTTGCGAATGCAACTAATACTGCTAGGTGACATAAAATTTCCTTATTATCTCATGAGAATCTGTAGGTAATAGGTACTCTTTAACATTTAATTAAACTCTATAAACATAGACACACTCTTAAAGTCGCGAACCATTTTTATTTTGATGTATTTCTCTCGGATGCCCTCTCAATGGTGGTCTGATTTTACACTGTCATTTTAATTCCATAGATTATCAGATAAAAGCCCTTTTTATTTTTGATTATGCGCTTACGTCATTAATAATAATCTCTTCTAAATCTATCGAGTGATTTCTGATAAGAACTTAAATAGCATTATGATTGATTGAGGCAGTGATGTGTGAAATAATTGATCTTAAATATTTAGTGAAGGGGCGTCACTAATTCTTTTTTTAAACCATCATGGCTTTTCTTTTTAATTAAATGACGCTCGAGCAAGATTGAATACCAGTGCAACGGTATATAATGTTGACAGAGTTTATTTTGTACGCGACCAAAATTGTGTTGCCAGCTCTCATGTGTGTTTCTTAAATTTCGGGGAAAATGAAACATCGTTTTACTTTTACTTTATAACATTTTTTAGAGGAGATACATTACTTCTCAATGCTTTATTTCTGACCTTGTTCTTTTTAGAGATATTAGATGGTAGAATATTGCCAACGTCACAGTAAGCTGTCTGTGCACTACTTTCACTGGGCGAATACTCTTTACCGTTTTAGGGACAGAGAATGCTCTCTTTGCGGAATGAATATCTTTTGGCTTAAGACACAGCAGTAGTCGAGTCGACATGCAAGTTAACCTATAGACACAACCCTTTGAGTTCCCTGCCGGATCCTCTCAGTGGGTCGCGATTACGATCTGGTGGTAGTTTCAGCGATGCACTGCTCTTGCTAGGGCTAGTGTTAGCAGTCTCTCAGATTGAGCCCGGGGGCTCACCTACAGGTCTACATAAAGTTGGAATAGCCTCTTAGGCTACCAACGATGGCTGAGCCGAATCCTGAGAAGGAATTTGCATGAGTCCCTATATGAGACGTCCGTGAGCTCGCAAGTTAAGTTGAAGCCAAAATGCGCCTGGAGGTAACTAGCTTAGACTAAAGATAGCTAAGAAAAAAAAGATGTGTGGTGTCGTGAGACACCGGATAGGAACGAAGTTCCTTATTATAAAAATATTAATTTTAAGTTCTATTAGAGGTATAAAGAAAACAAAACTGGAAGTTTCGCAACAACCCACGGTCATTCGATAACGTGCGAGCTTATTGTGGTACACTTTATTCACGGTTGTTTGCATAAGAGTTAGTGTATTGCGCAAACGAACGCTCTGAGATCGTGGTCAATGAATGAATAAAAAAATATGTTATTTTTTGTACGTTATTACAAAGTTAAGTCGTACACTGTGTGTATTACTAATAAAAATATTACGTTACGGACGTTTTTTTCCGGTTAGGGTACCTCTCCGCATCGTCCAATAAGGAACTCCGTTCCAAAAAATTAGTCGAAGAGGTTTTCCTACTCGCCATAATACCTGCAGACTGGATCGATTTCGGGGTCTAATTTGTGCCTCTNATTATTTTTTGTACGTTATTACAAAGTTAAGTCGTACACTGTGTGTATTACTAATAAAAATATTACGTTACGGACGTTTTTTTCCGGTTAGGGTACCTCTCCGCATCGTCCAATAAGGAACTCCGTTCCAAAAAATTAGTCGAAGAGGTTTTCCTACTCGCCATAATACCTGCAGACTGGATCGATTTCGGGGTCTAATTTGTGCCTCTTTAACCGATTTCCCAGTAATTATATTACAGTCCTTAAGTTAAAAGGACTTGGGCTAAAAATTAGGTATTTAGATGAGTTTCAACGAAGACATTTCTATTTCTGCCTACCTGCACTCTAGATTCTGGAAGGTTTATCTTCAGCGCGACCTCCTCCCTCATGAAGATGTCAGGGTATCGCGTCTTCCCGAACAATGCTTCGAGTACGTCCAGCTGAGCTCTCGTGAAGGTAGTCCTTTCTCTGCGCTGTTTCCTGGGGTTCACTCCTATGGACAAAGATTACCTCGATTTATTCATTTGAAGTCGCCACGGCCCAAAGGATGTTTTCCTACCTATGCTGATAGCTTTGAGAGGCTATTTCAGCGACGGGTTCGACGAGAACGGTGACCGGTGCTTGAGGTACCTAAAAGCACCGTTAGTGGATTGGGAGAATCCGAGATGACCTGTTTTGGGCGACGTCGACTGCTTTCCATTGTTACTCAAGTATAGTTACAACGGCTGTCCTACCCTTCAAACCGAAACGCATTACTGCTTCACGGCAGAAATAGGCAGGGTGGCGGTACCTATCCGCGCGGACTCACAAGAGGTCCTACCACCAGTCCTAAAGGCTATTTCAGCTTCACCCTAACGTGTAGGTGAGCTCACCGCAAACCGGAGTGTTGCTAATACTGGCCCTAGCAAGAGCAGTGCTTCGTACTGATGACGATACAATAGTTTTATAACTTAAAGCTCTAATATCCTGACCGGTACCGAAAGGATAGAAAAAAAACTAAATTAATTTTCAGTTCGGTTTATCTAAGCGTTGGTTTTGCGTAAATTTTGACCGGTAGGTATTATTAAAAAAAAAAAAAACAGGTGCACTGCGCGTACGTACGCCCGTCAATATATCTAATTACATCGAGATAATAAAATTAATAAGTTTACACACGTAGCGATGTTTCTAATTAGACGGACCGGTGTTTGAACCACGTATATGCTAATTGAACGAAGCCTGCGTCTGATAGTCTACCGATAGTGAGGACTTGGCGCAATATTTTAGTATTTGTGTCCAATAGTTAGGGTATATAATCTGGACGTTTTGAAGTGGTCCACAATCCACTTAACGGTGATCGGATTCAGCGGACGTAACTTCTTGGGTGTTCGAAGAGCCAATTATTGCGTGAGCCGTGCTAGTTCAGTTTGATTCGCGGATTCATATGAAACTATGACAATAAAATGATTTGGGTTAATTAAAATGTATAGAAATCTTTATCTATACTTCTATACTAATATTATAAAGAGGAAAGATTTGTTTGTTTGTATTGAATAGGCTCCGAAACTAATGAACCGATTTAAAAAATTCTTTCAATGTTTGGAAGCTATACTATTCCCGAGTGACATAGGCTATAATTTTTTTTGAAAAAAAAATAGGGTTCCTTACTAAAACTCCAATAATGTAACCCAAGGTGTAAAAAATTACCTAAAATATTCTTTACATCGCGTGCCCTGCGAAAACTATTGATGATAGAATAAAATAATATACTACGACTTTGTAGAACACATTATTATTTACAAGAAGTGTCGCGACGGCATTTGTCTAACTGTTATAGTTATGCCGCAATAAGTGTTCTTTTATTTTAAAAAATAAAACAACGTCAGATATTGTTGAAATTTTTGTTAAAGACCCGAGCAGAGCCGGAGCGGGCCGCTAGTATATGTATATATAAAAGAGAATGTACGTGTGTATGTTTTTTCACTTAAAACTCGAGAACCGTTATCCCAATTGATATGTAACTTTACAAATATACAAGTTCCGAACAACAACATTTGGGCCGTCGGCAATACCGAGCAATAATACCCGCTTTGTGAAAGATCTTCGTTTTGTCGTTATTTTCAAATACATAATTACCATCCACGTCAAACCACCATCCTACATCGGTTCAAAAACAAACATTGTTTTCAGCGGATTAAGGTTCGTTTTTGTTTACCGTAAGCATTTAAACATAAAAGTTAATTTTAATGTAGGATTGGTAAGAACGGAACTAGTTTGCCAATAGTGCCCACTGAGTTTCTCGCCGGATCTTCTCAGTGGGTCGCGTTTTCGATCCGGTGGTAGATTCTGCGAAGCACGGCTCTTGCTAGGGCCAGTGTTAGCAGCACTCCGGCTTGAGCCCTCACTTACACGTTAGGGAGAAGCTGATAAGCACAGCATTTTCAAAAGCATTAGCACATAAAGATGTGGCTAATGCTTTTGAAAAGTTTTTCTCTGACATTCCAGTTTCAACTACCACTTCTCTAAATTCATCCCCCACAGCAGCTGAAATATTATTGCATAAACATGTCAACAAATGTAATGAAATTTTTAAATTTAAGGAAATTAATTCAAGCAATATAATAAAAAGTTTTAATAGCCTTAATGTAAAAAATACAGCTGACTTGTGGGGAATATCAGTAAAGGTTTTGAAGTCTGTAATAGACATTATTGCTCCTCATCTTGCTAGTATTTTTAATGATTGTATTAGGTGTGGTGTATTTCCTGACTTAATGAAACATAGTAAAGTGATTCCTCTTTTTAAATCTGGTAGTACTGATGACCCCTCTAACTATAGACCTATTTCAGTACTCCCTACGTTGAGTAAAATCTTTGAAAAAATAATTTTGACACAACTTTTAGAACATTTTAATTCAAATAACCTGCTTCATAATAAACAATTCGGGTTTACCAGGGGTCGCTCTACAACTGATGCAGGTGCTTATCTAGTCAAAAATATTTTTAAATCTTGGGAGGAATCACATGATTGTCTTGGAATTTTCTGTGACTTATCCAAAGCATTTGACTGTGTTGAACATGAAACATTGGTGAGGAAACTACATCACTATGGTATTAGGGATGGTGCATTGGAACTTATTACTTCCTATTTATCAGGACGGATACAAACAGTAGATGTGAAAGGTAATAGATCTTCAGGTACCTTGTTGAAAATGGGTGTACCTCAGGGTTCCATTTTGGGTCCTTTTTTATTTCTAATATATATAAACGATTTACCTAGTTTTATTGAGTCCCGACACGAGGTCGTATTATTCGCAGATGATACATCTTTATTATTTAAAATTAAACGACAATTACAAGTCTATGACGAAGTGAATGATGCGATTTCGTGTGTGGTTCATTGGTTCCGTATCAATAACCTATTATTGAATAGTAAGAAAACTAAATGTATTAAATTTACTTTAAAATGTATTAAACCATCTTTAAATGTGAGACAAGTGGATAGTGATGTAATTGTTTCTGAGGAATCATTGGAGCTTGTTGAGTCAACCGTATTTCTTGGTATAACAGTGGACTCCAAACTGCAATGGGGACCTCATATTCATAAATTGGCGAGTAAGCTCAGCTCTGCAGCATACGCAGTAAAAAAAATTAGAATGTTAACAAACGCGGACACGGCTCGTTTAGTTTACTTTAGTTACTTCCACAGTGTCATGTCCTATGGCATTTTGCTATGGGGCAATGCGGCCGATGTAGAAACGATATTTATTCTGCAGAAAAGAGCTATACGCGCTATTTATAACATGCACTCAAGGGAATCCCTGAGGGAGAAATTTAAAGAAATTAAAGTTCTCACTATGCCATCCCAGTACATTTTTGAAAATTTGATGTATGTTCGTAAACATATTGAGGAGTTTCCTAAAAAGTCGGACATACATAATAGAAATACTAGGAACAAACACAAGCTTGTTGTGCCGATGAGTAGGTTACATAAGATACGAAATTCATTCGGGTGTTTGTCTGTGCGCCTGTACAACAAAATCCCACAAGATGTTCAGAACCTACATATACATAGGTTTAAGAAAACTGTTAAAGAACATCTGTGCAATAAAGCTTACTATAAAGTCAATGATTATCTAGAAGATTGCACAAAGTGGGAATGAGTTGCTCGCTCCGGGCATTTCAATATTGTAGTAATTGTTACGTTATAATACTCATTGTAAAAAACTCATATTTAAAAAAAAAAATGTAATATTAAAAAATTAATAAATAACAATTTATTAAAAAGAAAAAAAAAAAAACATGCCCGCTGAGTTTCTTGCCAATTCTTCTCAGGACGGAGGCTAGTTCTTGTGAATTGGCGGTAGTTCTTTTGACGTTCAACAAGTATGTACTTTCATTTATGTTGAATAAAAATTTTTTGATTTGATTTGATTTGATATAGCCTCTCAAGGCTATCAGCATAGATAGGAAGAAAAAAAGGAACGTATAAAAAGAGTGTGGAACGGAGCGCTAAGATGTGAGTGAGAGAAAATGGTAAGAAAGAGAAAAAAGAATGACAGAGAAAAGGAAGATGGCGGCGAAGACGATCGAATGATCAGGGCATAAAAAAGGTATCAATTAATTATTAATTATTAAAATAGGGAAGATTTGCGAAGAGAACAGTGAAATAGCCTTATTTTATGCGCTACGATCCTAATTCTTCATTCTTAACTTCGTTTGTATGAGAATCATACAAACGAAGTTCTTCGTTTGTATCAGAAACGTTTGTATGAGAGTAACTTCGTTTGTATCAGAAACGTTTGTATGAGAATCATTTTGAAATCAACATCATCTGACGTATTAAGCATGACACCGACTCATGTTTAATACATCAATTTATAATAATAACTTTATTCTTAATTTATTATCTCGTTCCGAATATTGACATCGACAACATTAAAATAATGTTCATCATTATCTATTCTAAGTGGTCTAATTCTACAGCAGAACGTATTTTTAGTATTTACGAGAGTATAATATTTATATGTCAAGTCGTAAAAAAGTTACGTATAAAATTATTGTTTGTGCCAATCGTCTAGTGTTGGGACATAATTGGATGATACGTGATGAGCTAAAAAAGACTGAAGCATATTTCTTTTTTTGTTGTAGCGAGTTTTTTTCATTGTCTTCGACATACTAATTCACGGCTCAGTTATTTTTAAGTGATGTCTGAGTGGCGAGTACGAATGACTATTGAAAAAGTATTCGTATCGCTATCGAGAAAAATGTATAGTATTTAAACAGCGCCCCTACCGTCCGTAAAATACTTTTTTTTTTGGATTGAAGGATTACTGTTGGCCCGGAGGCCTTTCCAGTTTCACCAGGACAGGTGGGCAAGCAAAGGCTCAGCCAGGAGAGGTGGAATTTGCTAACAGCTGCTCGAGCGCCTCCGAAGGAGACCTAACAACTCAAGAGCAACTGCTTCGCGAATGAATCTACTACCGGATCGGAATCGCGACCCGCTGAGAAGATCCG